ACACACACACACACACACACACACACACACGCGCACAAATTCTTTCTACACTGAATGATGATTCTCAAATAATTACTGTTTTGATTGTGGTGGACGCTGATAAAAACTCAGTAAATAGTGAGGTGAGTCCTTTAATCCTTGTGCATTGGCCCTCCTAATAAWATTACAGTATTTACCGTACGGGGCTACAAGCTGCAGGCAGCGCTTTGTGCTTCTCAGGTGATAATGAGGTAGCTGCTCGGTGCCRCAGCCGTCAGAGGGCACGAGTTCAGCAGGTGCCTGACTCACTCACTGCTCTGGACTTTATTACAGCAGAAAAAAAAMCCCAAAACATTTCAAAAACATTATGACAAAAAGGTTTATTCACTCCCCCGTTTTTTACCTGCAGTCATTATGAGGGGATGTTGTGATTTAAAGGAGATCATTTACAATCAACTGTAGAATCTTTCCTCCTCCAGGATCTCCTGCTGTAAAAAATAAAAACCTATACAAGCTCCCTCCCCGGGGTTTTACTGTGCCCACAGTGGGGTGGGGTGCGGTTAGGGGATGCAACTGTATCTGCCTGCAGCTTTTTGTTCTGGTTCTCTCTGAGCTGCAGTTCAAGGCGAGGAGTAGATAACAAAGAAACTCACAATAGGGTTTTATTCTTAGAAATGCTAATTTCTCCGTAAGAGGAGTCCTGGAATAACTTGACCGTATGTTCAGCGTTCAACCAAGGAGCCGACAAAAGGTTCTGTTGTATCGATGAGCTCCAACAGCAGCGACAAATCAATTTGATCAAGTATGATGTTGTTTTCTAAWATTTTCCTCTTCCTTTTTATCCCGCTCTGCCGGGATAAATTTTTGCTTCTGCACTTTTGTTTGCCTTTTGTCTCACAGGACCCCAATAGCAAACCTCAGCAGGACCATCAGATCAAATCACATCCATATTAAAAGAGGAATGAAAGCCTTCCTATTTGTACGTGTTGTTTCCTGTGACACACACACACACACACTGCTGTTTTTATTGGCTATGGTGACCATAAGAGGCCCTGAGTTTGTGCAGCTCAAGCCCTTTGAAATTGCCTGTTGAGTAATACCACAGCTGCCTGGAGGAAGGATTATAAAATGATTAGATAGCTCTGAGGCTTGTGTTTGAGAGGCTAAATTAGCTCCCAGTAGCAGGAGCTCAAAATGGCACAGAGCTCTTACAAACAGCTCATTGGTTATTGTTTAAACAGCTCTATTAATTTGTCGACTTTCTGAGTCGATTATCAGTCGTGCTGACCTCTGAAAGTCATGTGTTTTCTTCTTAAAGCTTTGGAGAGGCTCAACTTAAGCAGACAGATTAACCCATTAAGATGTTAGGCGACCTGAAAACGTGGGAAAAGTTAGAGTATATAGAGCTGTGATCAGAAGTTTACATCCACTCGTCCTGGGCATGAATGCGACAATGATTTATCCTAAATGTTTTTTTTTTCCCAGTGTGATTTTCAAACACCAACTCCTAGCATGTCTATCCTCAAATCCAATGTTTTTTTGTAGCTTCGTAAACTTCATAATTGAATATTTGGCCTCTTATCTTTGTACTGGTGGGGTTCAAATAAAGTGCTCAGATTTTTTTTAGCTTAGGTCACAAATTTTCATTAGGATCAAGGTCAAGGTTTTGGGAACACCATCCCAAAGTCTTATTACCATACCATACCAACTTTATTTTTAAAGCACTTTAAACACCCATAGAACCAAAGTGCTACACACAATCATTATTGAACAGGTAGAGTTAACCTTGTAATGTTTTTACTGTATAGCCTTCTGGTTGCTTTAGCTACTCAAAGCATCAATGCTAACCTCATACATACCCTATACCTAACCGCCCCAGTACACAACTAGCCCTAAACCTAACCTATACTCAATTCACACCTTAGTCCTAAACTAAGTCCCTGATCCACCAATGGTATTTCCCCCAAAGGGGACTGGGCTTTTATCCCCATAAGGAACAG